CGCCCATTTTTCAAAATATCTAACTTTCAGGCCTCCCAGCACAAAAAGTGTTTAGTCGAATTTTTTTTTTTTTTCTCTCATTTATAGTACTCGTCGAGCTCTACAAAATGGCATCAAAGATATTTTTGGTCCGCTGCGTTTTCACTCTCTTGTCTCGATCACAAAAGTCAAAAATGCGAGCGCCGACCGAAGGGAGGCGTGAGCATTGTTTTGAATTCACAAATATGTTTAGACCTATAAAGATTTTTGATTTATATATTTATATCAGATTACGAACCTTATACATAAAAAAAGAAAAGAAATCCAGAAGATGCCTTAGTTACGGCCCCAGCGAGCGCCGACCGAAGGGAGGTGTGAGCATTGTGTTCGATTTATAAGGCACCAAAAGGCGTTCGCTTGCGCAGATCCAACTTAATAAAGTCAAGGGACCGTGCCAGTGGAGACGAGCGCTACCTTGTTGCCGTAATGTAAACTAAATAAAACAAATGTCAATTTATTGCCCACTATTCGATAATCATCTGACCAATCACAAGCAAATTAATAGATGACGGTGGACTATGCTACACGTCGGCCGTTAGCAAGGTATTTCGTAAGAATTCTTATATCAGAGTCCAGACGAAGTGTACAAAACGGAGATTTAACTGTTAATTAGGTCGTCATTACGAAGAGTAAGGCTCATGCTCGCTTGACGGTTTTCGACCAATCAGACGCGGTCTATAATTTATTAACGAAATTTCCCATGACTTACTCGGCTACGGTCATGACCAAAAGGCCATGAATTTTTCCCTGACATCCGGACACGGGGAATGGACAGCTGACAAACGACTGTGCGTCGATATTTTACGAATATATTGCGGTTGGTTTTTATATGAAAAATAGCCAATAAAAAATGTACGAAGTGTACGACTGTACGCGTTTTGGTCATGACACTTGGCTACAAAGCGCAGAGATGGGCAAGTCCGGTACTTTTCCAGTCCACTAGAGGCTAAGTCCGAATCAGGCCCAGTCCGCTATGCAGTTAAAATATTTCAGTCCCAGTCCGTGACGAGTTAAAAGTTTCCAGTCCCAGTCCGCTAAGCTTGAATTTGACTAGGATGAGACTGACCGTAGACAGGTTTTCCACCAGCTAGATGTAGACAAATTAGCACGTAAAAAAAACAGAAAAATATGGATTTTTCTCGCTTAGTCAAGTAAAATTCCTCTGCACGTGTCGGAGAACTTCGATAGAAATCTTAATACCAATAATAATATTAGGAGTCATTATGTCTTAACGAAACTTTGAGAAAATTAGAATGTTCAGTGCAGAAAGCTTGTAACAAGTTACCTGCCAATAGTACCTGCCAAAAATGGCCGCCGATGATAATACTTTTTCTTTCCTTTCTCACTGTTCGTTGAATAAGAATTATGCAATGTCTTTGCAGTTCAACAGATGTCGCATGATTTCGAACATGATCTTCGATCGCAGATATTGCATGTAGTAAAAAGCATTTTCTTAACTTATATTTGAAGTAATATCGTCGGGTGAAGGGAGGAGTTCAAATTAGATGTTAGATGGTTCATTCTATGTTAATAATAACGCGCATCTTATCGCATGAAACCGCAAGTATGAAATACGATTTTACTCGACTCATTGTGAATTTTTCCTCAATTCTGTAAATAGTATCGTTCATATACTTGTTCTGAAACCGTGAAACAAGATTAAAAAAGATGAGAAATCCAGAATAAGAAACGTCAGGATGAACTGAGGCATTTTTAAAAGCTAAAAGTGTTTGAAAAACTTATCTGTGGATTCAGTGGCGTCCATCCTTTAGTGTGCTTGAGGCAAACTACCTCAAATAAAAACTTTTTGGGAGATATGAACTCTGACATGAAAGGAAGAAAGAGAACTTAACTTATCGATCTAAGATTCACAGACACGGAGTTCACAGAACTCTATATTGATAAAATTTTCAAGATTAGTAGAAATAACTCAAGAATTAGCATTGAGTTATTTTTTAGCTTCTGAACTTTCAGAAATTCAGAATTAGCATCAAGTATTCAGAAATAAAAATTAAGCTTTTTCTTAATTCAAAGAATTCAAGAATTCAGAAACTGAAAGCAACTTTTTCCAATTTCAGAATCTTTTTCCGATTCAATAATTCAGGAATTGACAGGCACCTTTTAGTTTTTTCAATTGAAAGAGTAAGTTACAAAAATTGGAAAGTGGAAAATGTGACTTTTTATGAATTTCTTGAATTCGAAAGGTCAAAATTCTGTGAATTTGTATGGAATCGGTTTGAACTCATGTATTCAGAATACTCACCAATCGGCAAATTGCGCGAATCAAAGCGGACTGTAGCACATGGCTCAATGTTAGATAGCGGCTCATTCTCATCGTCCCACTTCATCCCACACCCACTATAGTTACACAGAGACTTCTTATTGTTACTCTCTGAATTAAAACTTATGTATTCTTTCAATTCCTGAATACTAGAATTTCAAGAATTGTTCAAACCGATTCGATATAAATTCAAAGAATTTTTGGCTTTTTCGAATTGAAGAAATTGAGAAAAGTCACATTTTCAGTTTTTGATTTTTTTGTATTCTTTCCATTGAAAAAACTCAAAAGTCTGGTCAGTTTCTGTATTTTTGAATTAAGAAAAATCCTTGATGGTTATTCTTGATTTCTTGAATTGAGAAAAAGCTTGATTTTTATTTCTGAATACTTGATGCTAATTCTGAATTTCTGAAATTTCAGAAACTCGAAAAAAACTCGATGCTAATTCTTGAATTCTTTCTGCTAATTGGGGGACATACAAAACTGAGTGTGAGTTTGCAAAAAAAAGTATCTCTTTTGAGACGTACACTGTAATCTTGAATTAATTTCTAGTTTATAGAAATTCCTTGACGAATTTCCAGCTTTCTAGGAAATGTTGATTTTCTGGTTTCTAGAAAATCGATTTGAATTTCCATAAATTTGATTTTCTATAAAGGTGGAGAATCGCTGCGGATTTTCTATAAATAATTTAAATTTATTCGATTTTGATTTTCTATAAACTAAAAAATCCTCGGCGATTTTCTAGAAAGTGGAAATTCGCCCAGGAATTTCTAGACCAACTTTCAGTTCTCTTCTAATACCTTCTGCATTAGTAGAACTGAGACTTTCCTTGTCTTTTACGTGTCTTATTCATCTTTTTGTTTTATAATTCGTGTAGGTATGAGAGCGTCAAGTAAAGACACGCATATTACACTGAAATCAACTCTGACAGTTTCTACTTTACATCACAATTCTGCAGTAACAGCAAGAATTTGATTTAGGCAGAGACAATGGTGGCGCGAAGTTTCGGTAGAAAGGTCTGAAAATCGGAGACGTTTACCAGAAATTGCTCAAAAGCATGAGTGGGATCAACCTCCATACAAACTGGTAGCGCCGCCACTCGGTGCAGACCCGCCAAGGAATTTCCAGTTGATAGAAATTCAAAAAGAAATTTCTACTTTCTTGAAAATTATTTATGGAAATTCAAAAAGAAATTTCTACTTTCTTGAAAATTATTTATGGAAATTCAACGGCGATTTTCTAACAAACTGGAAAATCATCAACAACTGGAGGATTCTAGATTGTTGGAAATTCGATTTTCTATAAACTAGAAAATCCTCGCGGAATTGTACTCTTTGAAAATCGCCGAGCATTTTCCATAAATAATTTCCAACCTTTCAGTGTATAACCTCAATTTAACTTCTGCCTATGGCGTCATTGTATTCAATTTGTTATTATGTACGATAAAATTTTACGAAAAATTATCTAAACATATTCGTGACGGTTATTTTTACATATCACAAAGGTTGAAAACGAACGAAGTGAAATTAATCAATAATGAATTCGTAGACTGAAATTAAGGCTCCGCTAATTCAAAGTTTCCCTAAGATATTACTTTTGTCTTAAACACACATATTCTGATAGATCTGATCCAGCTGATTTCGAATATCACCTTTTCAGCTCAATTAGGGCGCGTTTTTGCGGGGGAAAATTGAAAATACTGAGAGGTTCTAAAATACCGAAAAATTGTTCAGTTTCAGAAAAACCTGAGACCCTCACTTTGCAAACCTATCTGCGTTTTTGTGTAAAGCGCTACCGCTCTCATTTATACGTCAAACGAATCGCCTTGTTAGGTTCCCGGGTGAACTAAGATCTTTCTCACCTAACGTTTATTTACAAATAAGAAAGAAGATCTTCTTTTTTACACAAAAACGCACATATATATACTAAGCCGTTGCACAATCTTAAGAAACGAAGACTGATGCCCTGATTATGCAATACTTCTTAGAACTGTTCTATCTCGTTGACTAAGGCTAATGCAATAACCTTGAATATATTCTTGCACCATAGTCTTGCGCAATAACCTTGAATATATTCTTGCACCATAGTCTTGCGCAATAACCTTGAATATATTCTTGCACCATAGTCTTGCGCAATAACCTTGACTAGGATCTTCTCCCTTATGGCACGACTCTAGTGCGTGGCATAACCCCTCCCCCCATGAAACAAGATGAACTTCCATGTTCATCGGAAACTGAATGCCTTTCGAAGATCGTTTTGTTGTTCAATGTTCCAGTACTGCCACTACCATTATCATTGAACCTTTGGCGGCCGCGTTCTTCGTACTGTGCTTGAGTCAAATGAGTCGTTGTTTTCTTTACCATTCGTTTTGTTTTTGTTGATTGAGAAATTGTCACTGTTGTTCGATCTCTTGTGGATAATCACCAACGTGTTAGATACACCTTTCGAACACTGGTTGTAAATCAGCTGTATGAACCTTCCGTTGAATAGCTGTTTCTCGATCTTGTATGATGTAGCTCGGGTGGTGTTCTTGAATGATAATATGCGAACCCGAGTAACGTTCTTCGAATTTTGAAATATGGCTAGGTTTTCGCCATAACACTAAGTCATTTGCTTTATAGATTGGATCGGAACGGTTCAAGTCGAATCGTGCTTTTGTTACTTGTTGTTGAATTTGAATATTTTATCGTGCCGTTTGATGATACATTTTTAATGACCGCATCATTCTGGGCCAGTAGTCATTTGGTTTTGTCAATGTGAACGTTGGCTGTTTTTGGGCTAGTGGCAATGTTGGTTCTCGGCCAAACATCAATTGAAATGGTGAATACCCGGTTGTGGCATGTTGTCCAGTATTGTATGCGTAAAGAACAGCCGGCAAATATTCGTCCCAATTGTTCAAATTCTCGTCGTACAACTTCGTCAGTTGTGGATGGACTGTTGCATTAAACCGCTCCACTTGACCATTTGTTTGTGGATGGTACGGTGTTGATTTAATATGATCGAAGCCTATCATTGCTGCCACATTTTTGAGTAATTCGTTGTTAAAGTGGACTCCTTGATCGGTAATAAGCCGATTTGGCACACCAAATTTAAATATGAATTCTTCAACAAATACTTGAGCAGTTGTTTGGACCGTGTTGTTGGGTAACGCCTTCGCAACCACGAATTTTGTCAGATAATCGGTTATGACCAGTACGTATTTATTGCCATTTGCTGATTCTTGTCTTGTTGGCCCCCAAAAATCCATGCCAATTAATTCCATCGATCCTGGCATAACACGCCTTAAAACAAAGATAAAAAGTGTAGCTTGCTTTTTGAAATTCCTTTTTGTTGCTAAGATATTTGCAAATCATTAAAAATTAGCGAGTTTGACGCAAATCGGCCAAGTGATTTCTGAATAAGTCAGTCACTTTTCAGCATACAAAGCTGAAAATATGAATTCCTCAGTAAAGATGAGTGTTGAATCTTGAGAAAACACTTTCGGAAAAGTCAGAGTTTTCCAAAGTGGTTTTCTAGAAGACTAGCCTTTGGGAAAACTTCGAAAAACACATTTTGCCAAACTAATTTTCCAAAACTAAATAAAACAGAAGCAATTTAGATCAGTGAACTTAAAAGGAGAAGCATTTAAGAGCCTTTTTTCTAGCGCAAGAAATAATTAGAATGCTTCAAGATATTATAAAAAAAATACGTTCGGAAAAACTACTGAAATTTCCGAAGTTACAACGCAGGTTTTAACTTTAATTCATCATAGCACCAAAAAGTACAAATTTTATGAGCAAGAAAATTCTCTCTCTAAAGAGTGTACTTTGAGACTAATTTCATCATGTTTTACCCGGCTTTCTCTTCGGGAACATGATGCAATTCATCTCAGGTTCAACCAGAGACTGAGCTCAAAACAAGCAAGTACACAGTAATTTTATTCACATCTTTTAACTCTCTCTTTCAATTGTTGTGCACTTTAAAGTTATCATTTAACTTATTTAATTTTTCGTATCACTTTTATATATGCGCGTGTCTTCACTAGACTTCATGCAAATAAGACGTATATATATACAATTCTTTTCTTTTTTCCTCGTCTTATATACTCTGTATACAGAGTCACATGCCATAATTTCGACACTCCCATACAAATACATGAAGTTTTGGCACACATGTCGTTCGAAAAGTTTTTTTACGCTTATCAAGTTAAACAAAACCTAAATTTTATATAGAAATATTTAGAAGACTATGACGAATCGAATTATGTACTTTTTTCTGAAAAGACACATGCTTTCATGTTCTTCTTTAGTGCAGAATAAACTAAATAAATTTCGACACTTTCATACAAATACGCGGAGTTTTGAGCGGCTTTTACAAAGAAAGATGTGATCGCAGGCATGAGCGAGTCCGAGTCCGGATTGGAAGATTTTTTGGCGTACTCGGACTGGAGATTTTTTTGAAGGACTCGGACTTGAGTTTTTGTATTTCGAATCCGATCTATTCAACTTTTAACACAAATGAGCAGAGAAAAATGAAAAGCGAAATAACAACATCTATTGTTTCACGTGAAATTGAAAATTTTGTTCGAAAGACGGACATGAAACGTAACCTGTCCACATGTTTATCTAGATCGTTTTAGCCCCCACTATAAACCAACCCAGGTGAAACACGTCTTGTAAGACCTTGCAAGGTCTGATGTTTTCTTGTGAAATCTTGTAATAAGGTCTTACGATATGATCATAAAAGACCTTATTATAAGATAATATAAGATCTTATGGAATCTTGTAACTTCTTGTTATAAGATCCCCCAAGATCTGGTTATGAGAAGTGACAAGGTCTTGTAAGACCTTATGACAAGAATTCATATGAT